AATATTTAGACAAACATTACACTACTCAACTGGTTTGCTTTGTGTTTTTGCATAAGAATAGTTCAACTTTTATAAACAGTCATTGTTTCTCATAGGCATCTTATTTTTCTAAACATTGTTTGCCTATTATTTACCCTGCACTGTTCCTACCCAGAGGAAGTTTGGTTTCCACAGCCTTTTCTAACTGTTTAGGTTAAACACATCTCTCTACTATATCAAGAGAGTATGTTTTCCAAGAAATTGACCATCAGTAAACCCTAATACACTTTACAGAGCTAACACTTCATACCTACATGCACATGAAAGTATACCCAGATAAAAAAAAAATTTAATAAAAAGGAAAATTGTAAGGCTCTATCTTTAATGACCAGCTTATTTCAGCCCTTTTTCTTTCTTAACTCTTATTTCAAGAATATACATACTTTTTTACACATTGGAAACATACGGAAACATATGCAAAGACCGATAATCTCACACTATGAGTCTCTGTGTGTCAATTCTGTCACCTGCACTTTGTTTCCTTGCACCCAATTCTGTAAGTTGCACACAATTTATAACCTCTTGACTCTAACACCTCTATTGGACTTACGGTAGCATAGCTGATGAATCCTCAGTACATGCATGTAACAAATGCAGGCAGATTTATTTTTTTAAAACTTTTTTTTTTTTTTTTTTTTTTACAGCCTGAATTTCAACAGACTAGCCCACCTTTGCACATCTAGAGACAGACTCCTCCTTGGAAAGAAAGGAACTTAGAGGGACTATGCATCATCACAGTTAATTCCACCACATAAAACACTGAACTGCATGCTACCGGGCTGATCCTAGCAATCCATCTCATACTTGGAGGTCTGTTTTTATATAAATCTGATCTCTGTGATAAATCCTACCAACTTTAAATAATGAGAAAAGGAAAATTCCAGCTTCCAAGGATGGCACAAAGTGCCTTATTCTAGTCTGGGGAAGACCTATGACAACAGATTTCAGATCTACAGTAAACTTTCTTATTACAGTTTCTGGGAGAGAGAAAAGGTGTGTTATGCATTCCTAACATTAATTATGCAGATAAACAAATTACAATGTAATTATTAGTACTGTGTATGACATAAAATGAAAGGGATTTTTAGATCATGTCAAAAAATCCTTGGAAAGTGTATGCATCTCCTCTGCTTCTGCAACTTCTCTTTCCTCTTCCACAAGCAAACAAAGTACTTGAGTAAAGGTTCTCAACTGGTGGATGAAATTCTTGCTGTTTGATATCAGGAGATATACCATAGTCTTTCAGCTAAAACTGTTTAGCTGGGAAAATCAGTGATAGAAACAGTATATGCCTCTCTGTAAAAGGGAGCTTGACAGGATCATCACCTAAGTGAGCAGTTCTTGATGGGCAGTGGGAAAGAAAGTAAGCTCTTTCAGGAGATACATACCCTTTCCATATTTCACCATGACAACTCCTGGGGACTACTTTTTCTCATTATTAGTTTTTTGCAGGTGTTCATCCATATGCCACACCAGACTCTCACTCCATTAGTTTTATTTAATAATTTATACTCCATCTACCATGCCTCTCAAAGGAAGACAAATCAAATAAGTATTTTCCTATTTCGGCATACCAGAAACTACAAAAAAAAGCTTTAGTCAGTTGTAAATAAAACAAAAGAGTTGATCTCTGTAAAGTTAGTACTGAGTTTACAAGCTTTAAAGTACCTACCACTTAGTACCACTCAGCCTTGGTTGATGTTCAGCATCCCACCAAGTACTTAGCTCTGGTGGATCTAATATTACTACAAGATGACTTTACAGAATAGGGTATTAATGCAGCATTCAAATTAAAGGTTTCGTAGCTGTTAAGAATTGATTTCAGGATTCTGTGTTGGTCTAGCAGCACTAATAATGTCCATAGATACAGAGGGCATTTTCCTATAGGCATTCACAAAGTCAGTAAATGCCACAGGAAGAATACAGAAACTGGGAGGAGGCCTGCTTGAATCCTGCCAACTCCTACTGCAGAATTCATTCACAGAGTAGCTCTTCTCACGCACATCTCTTTTTTTATACTTTGGTACCCCAGGTAGTCCATCCCGAACGTACAGGTTCAAAGACAAACCTCTCCGTCATCTTTTCCTTCGGTCTCGCATCTTCTGTTTTCCCTGAACTAGCAGTCCTGCAACTACAAGTCAACCACTGTGCCCACAGCGGCTATGTTACCTAGCTATCGCGTCCTGTATACTGCATTGCAAATATATTTCTACATGTACTTTCTAAGATTTACTGATGATTCCTGACAGATACAATAATCTGAGTGAGTATGAACAACAGCTTGTCAGAATATTTTTAAGTAAAGGAAAACTTTTTCAAGATACATCAGTTCATAAAAGCTAAGGTATGTCATGGACATGTACAGACTAATGATATTTTTACCACAAAGGTCAAGAGAGAGTCTGGCATTGAAAATCTTACTAAATCTCATATTAACAATCTGACAATTATTGCTTCTATATAATTGTATTTCCCACATATATTTACAGCAAAAAGGAATTGGTTTTGTTCAGTAAACTCTAACTGTGACACTACCTCTGGCTACATCAAAAGATGCAACTGAAACAAGACGACAGAGGAGGTCTCTGTCCCCAAAAAGCCTTAGCATAGTAACTTAGAACTGGAAGGACATCACTAGAAAGTAAATATAACAGAGAACAATAAAGGTCTAAAAGCCAGGATCAGGCTAAGTTCAAGCTACTCTCTTAAATGGTTTATGAATATAATTCAACCAACAACACATTTTTAATAAACATTTAGCATGTGGCTCTGGTAATGAGTCTCAACTATTTGCTTTTACAGTTGCATGTACAAAAAAAAAAAGTACATGCAGCGATCCCTTAGTTTGTGAAATTAAGCAGTTAAGTGCCAGAATTTTAATTGTGTTACTCTAATATACAACATTGTGTATGCATGTTATAATAAAAATAACATTTTTAATTCAACTATACACCCAACATGAATGCTAAGAAAACCAGATATTTCATCAGAATAAATCATACTATTTAGTCCTTCAATAAATGAGAGATAAAGGTCCTTCCTTCACAGCAGACTGATGGTTTGCTGTTCCCAGGTACAGAATGTAACAACTTTAGTTCATTCTCCAATGTATTGGAGAAAGGGACAGCTGGTGATATTACTCTTATTAAACTGTTAAAATGCCAGAACAAAAATACTTTCTGTAGAAAACACAACTTTATTTACTCTAACTTTATGAAAAGAACGGAAACAAATATTTTTTCAATTAAAATTCAATAAATCCTTATTCATTGGAACAAAAAAATTACACATGTGCTTTCTTAGAATAACAGGAGGAATGCAATATGTAATATAATACATCTTAATCCCTATATCCTCATAGCTACAAACTATCTGAAACTCGTTCTAAGTTGTGACACTAATGGAAAAATCTCAATTCAAATAAATAAAAAAAAATCAGATAAGTTATTAAATGCCTCAGGTTTTTACAGACAACATCCTCCAAGTGTTCTTCAATTTGTTCCAACTGTTCCTCAGCAGTCCATCCCAATACACAAGACGGCAACCACATGTATGAAGAGACTGGCTTGGCGAAGCAAGGAACCCATGGTGGAGCTCCAATGCAAGAAGGCTGTATGCATGAGGTGTGAGCAGGGACAAGGTGACCAGGAGGACTTTAGAAACACCACATGTGTCATGTTAAACAAAGTTCAATGGGAGTTAAGACTTGCACGGAATGTCAAGGGCAACAAGAGCAGCTTCTGCTTCAACGATAGTAATGAAAGGTCAAACAGGGAAAATATAAGCCTGTTGCTGAACTGGGCAGGCGATCTAGTGCCAGAAGACACAGATGACACTGGGGGACTCAATACCTCCTTTGTTTAAGGTCTCAAAGGCATCTGGTATTTTGCAAAGGGGTTCAAGATCTACCAGCAGTAGATGTGGCCTGAGTCAGGGATGACTTGCAAGATCTCAACCTATCTAAATCCATGGGATCAGAGAAGCTGCATCCATGGACACCGAGATAACCAGCCACTTTTCATCTCTGAGAAGTCACAGAGATGAAGGAAGGTCCTCAGTAACTGCAGGAAAACTAAGGTGGGAAATACAGCCCAGTCAATCTCGCTTCAGTTCCTGGGAAAGTTATAGAGTTAGTACTCTTGGAATGCACTTTTCTGGACATATTGAGAAGAAGGTGACTGAAAACAGTCAGCATAGATTTGCCAAGGGTAAATCATTCCTGACCAACCCAATTGCCTTTTATACTAAAATGACTAGTTTTAATGATGAGAGGAGAGCAGGGGATGTCATTTATCTCAAGGCTTTCAACACTGCCTCACTGCAAGTTAGGAGGCTACAGTCTCTCTCTTCAGGTGGGCAACCAGATGGGTAAAAAGCTGGCTGGATGATCAAGCCCAGAGCGTAAATGTTTAATGGACCTTACTCCACCATAAGGCCTGTAAAAAGTGGAATATCACGAGGGTTGATCCTGGGACCTGTCCTGTTTAACACCTTAATCAATGACCAAGGGGCAGCAACAGAGTGCAGTCTGTAAAGTTTGCAGATAACACCAAATTCAGAGAAACAGTTGACAAACTTGAGGGCAAGGCTGCAGTCCACAGGGACCTAGATGGGCTGGAGGAACGGGCCAAGAGCAACCTCATGAAATTAAGTGTACACATGCAGAGTCCTGCACCTGGAAAGGAACAACCCCATGCAACAGTACAGGCTGGTTTTAATCACAGAGGAAAATGAATCACCCGCCTTTAAATCACACATTCAGCACCAAATTGTGAACGAACTTTGCAAGCCTAGTTGTATTTAACACGTATGGAACACAGTCCAGGTTACTATATAACAGCACTGAATGCACTTTTTTTTTTTTCTCCATATCTGTATATATTTAAACCAGAGGTTTCCATGAAGAGATTACACAGTCTTTGGCCTACTTCTGGAAAAGTTTTTTTGCACTTATCCCTTACCTTTGTATGCAATAACCGGGTGCTCAGCTCTGTGGCAGTGGGTATCTTCTGTTATTGTTGGCTCCAGTATTCCTAAAGCCCCAAGTCCTGCCAAAAGCAGTGCAACGAGGCAGCTTCCTTTCATGGTGGTCATGCTGTCCTCCACAGCACTCACTTCTTTTAGCTGGCTACTCTTCTTGCACTCATGTGGGAAAAGCACCTAGAGAGTTCAAAGAAATTTTTTCAAGCAGAGGAGCAAACCACAGAAAAAAATTAAACCATTCTTGATGTTTAAAACAAAACAACATTGTTTTCTGTCTGTGTAGTATTTGACTCCTCAAAAGTATATTATCAGCTGCTCCTCTAATTACTTCATAAACTTATCATCAATTACCCAATTTACTAATACTGATTTCTTTTATCACACAGCAGGATTCAAAAACTGTTCTTCATTCCCCCACTCTTCTACTTTAAAGTTTCATTTTTAATGTGTGTGGGACAAATTCTGCAACTTTTTTTTAATTTTTTTTTTTTTTAGATACAGCAAATGTATCTAAATCTATGTTCCACATTCACTTGGATCCACTGCCCCTCACTCTGCCTTCCGCACAAAGCAAAGAACGCTTTGAGTCCTTGCGAGTATAGGTAGGAAAGGAATTGCTCCTTCACGTTACTGACTGTTTTGACAAAACAACAGCCCTAGAGCATGTATTTTTTTTGCCTATCTGTAGAGTATGTATAGCACAGCAGGGACAGCGGTAGGACAAGATTCACCTCAATGCTCTGACAACGTACTTTTGCTTTACAGGAGGGAGGGTCACTAGTTCTGACACCAGCTTAATCCCTAAACCGTTTGCCAAGACTGATGACAAGGTTGTGTATTGCAGATTCTAATGCTGAAGACTCCTTTCTACTAAAATCTAGACACCAATCAACGATGTAATGGTTTTCATTCAGTACTAGAATAAAGTTGAAGTTTTAACTCCCTGATTTTTTGAAACATCCAATAACCAGATACTTATAAAATAAGTAACAGAATATTCACAGTGTCAATATAATTTTAGATCCAACCCAATTCCTTTAGCTTTATCATAACAAACATTCCAAGCAGTAACAACCCAATGCTGCAACCCAAAAACTTTCACCACTAGCAGCTTTACTGACTCCCACAAGCTTGCTTGCTTATAGCACACAGTTATGAGACATCACTGCCTTTTAGGAGGGAAAGACTGGAGATTTGAGACAACTCCATAATGGCAGAAATGTCATTCTGCTAATTAACGGAGCAATTCCAGAAAAAATAATCAGCAATATTGACTTCTAATACATTTGTTCTCACTGAACTGCAGTGTGCTGTTTAATAAGGCGGAAACTTTCTATTTGTGTAAAACAAACATCCTAAACACATGAAAAAAAGGGCTGTTAATTAAAAGATACTCCCCAGTAAGACCAGTATGTTTTAAAAGCTACACTCAGAAAGCAGAATGGGTAGTAAACATTGCTCCCTAACCCCTAACATTACTGTAGCACAAGCCATCATAAGATGAACTGCTCCTCTCTTACCACTTTATTTTGCTGCCTTTAGTAGCCTTCTGGGTAAGACCTGGACACATCTAATCCTCATTAATTTAAACTAAAATAAATAGATAAAAGACATAATACATCTGAGCAATACATAAATTTAATAGTCAATTTTAGCTACTCTGACAAATTTGCTTCTGTTTCAGAAAAAAAAAGGCAGCAGCAAAACTTCTAGGCAGTTAGATTCATATACCTATCTAAGTAGTATATCTTATGGTGTCATGTACCAATATGAATCTGTCCCTATAAATTGCTTGTGGCTCACAGCAGGCAGTATCTGCTCAGAAATTCTGCGCACTCATGTATATAGGGGCATAAAGCGCCTGTTCCAATGTTTTGATGGTTCATTTTCTGCAAGGGTGACATTTCGAGTGTTACACACTATTCTTATCTAAATTCAACCAGTTTATGTGGGTTATATCATAACTAATGGATATTACTAACTTACAGATTATACAAGTACATTACTAAGAGCTAGTTCTAGTTCAGGTTTCGGTAAGATTATGTCTATGTCTTTAGGAAGCAAAATGAAGGATAGATACCACATCACAGACTCTCAAATGCCGGTTCAAAAAAAAGCCTTCAAACCCAAAGCCTTTCCCACAGAATTTGCAGGGGTCAGACTGCTCCCTCCCGCGCATCCCGGAGGAAGGACCCCACGGCACATCCACTCGCCTGAGGTCCCGCCGTGAGCGCAAGCCCGTGGAGGCAGCGCCTGAGCTCCGAACCCACGCAGCTCTGGAAGTCCCGCTGCAACCGAGAGCCAGAGGCTTTGAAGCGGGCAAAGGAGTCTTTCCTGAAACAGGCCCTGATCCTTACTGAAAGTGCAACTGTTGTGCCAAGAAGTGATAGTTAGCCCGGAGAGTAAGACACAAAAGAGAACCCTAAACGTGAAAAGTTTAGCCTAGTTTCCTTGATTTCTGCATAATTTCCATATGCAGATTTCTCTCAACAATGAAATGTAATGGTCAAGTCAAAACTTTTCAAAGCATATCCATAACGGTGATACTGACTGTCTTTTTAACTATTGCTATATATTTGGGAACCAGCACATTGACCTGTATTATTTCTATAGTTTTTCTAGTACAGATCTTTAATCAGGCTTCTGACAAATTGCATTTTACAGGTCTGTAAAACAATCTGAGGATGCAAAAAGAAAAAAAAAAAGCAGAATTATAAAATGCAATATATTTCAATATATTATTTTTTCCTTTATATGTAAAGGGTCTTGTGTGCTTATTTTCTCCCTCATTCACTTTTTTTTCATTTAGCTTGCCTAGAAGAAATATAAAGATGAATGAGGCCCGTTAGGTAAAGGTAGTATTTTTTACAAACACAGTATTTAGTTTCTCCATCAACATTATTTGATGAGGGGAAGAAAAAAAAAGGTTATTCATGATTTGCTATTTTAGCTGAGCCAACAAAAGATACCTATTGCTAAAGAGAAAAAGTGTGAACACAGCCAAGCATGCAAGGCATGTAACTGCTACTGCTAGGTCCAAGCAGATTCATTTAGGACTGTTCCCTCCAGGAACTGAAGTCATATATTTAAAACGAAATAATCAGGATGTCAATATTTCTAGATCAGTTAAAATACACCATGTTGGAAATACAATTTACATCTGAATTATAAACTACATTTTCTTTTGTTTGATTAAAATAAGCTGCTGTATAAAAAAAATAAAAAGAGAGTTGCCACACTAACTGCAGCTGTCCAGCAGCAAGGATGCTTTCAAATAACTATCTGTTGATTCTGTAAGTGTCAGTTTAACAGCACTTTCAGTGAAAGATGAAGTAAACATGTCAATGTGAGTATGCAAAGAACAGAGTTTGGCATGGTCAAAAGATGCCAGTTTCAGGACTGGTTCTGGGTACATGCATACACAAGCACATCTGGGGTTTCTTTACATGCACACCAGTGTCTGCTCTCGTAGGTGCTGCTCATGTAACTTGCTGTGGGAGACTCGTTCCACTTCCCCAGGGTGCTTTGCTCAACCTCTTGGTTTGTAAAACAGTAAAAGTTTGATAAAAATTTACTCATGCTGACTAACTACTCCAGATAACACACACCTTTGTGCACAAGCATGAACCTAAAGAAAAGTACTTGTCTAATGAAACAGACTATACATTGTATGGGTTCATTAGAACAGAATTATGAGTCCAAAGAAAGATGTTGTCCCATATTGCTACTGCACACACTTTAAAATAGCTAGTAATAATTATTTCATCTTTGGTCACGTCAATTTTATTAAAAATAACTAGTTTGTCTACTGTACTGCTAATGACAACTTTTTACAATTTATTAAAAGAATAGAACATTTGCTTGCTGTTGCAAGTGATGAGCAGACAGGGAGAATTGTTGTTTCCTCTTTAGCAAAAAAAGCCCCCGCTGTTGTGTATTGCTAGTAAACATACGGCCAAATCAGGGAAAAAAGGGTATCAGCAGTCATATGGTCATAAAACTGGAATACATGAACATCCCTACAATGTGGCTCAGTGCCTTTTTCTGTAATGGCTCTTGATTTCTTAAAGCCAAACTCCTCAAATTTTTACAAATCATTTGAGAGGAAGATTGCTAGAGAAAGAAATATGTAAAAAAGGCCCTCTCATCACAGCTACCAAAAAATCTAGCTAAATTCTCAGGCAATGTGTATGTTCTCAATTCCCAGTCCTGGCACTACCACTAGTGACAAGCCCTGGAGCCCAGAAGGAAAAAGGGATGGCGGGGGGGAGCATCAGGAGGGCTGCATCAGTCTGAAATAACAGTGCTTGCCTCTTCCCCCAGTGAAAAATGTGAATGTTGTGTGTCAAAAGACATTCACATTTCACTTTTTTCACAAATGAACTGTGATATTTTTTAGTCATGCTTCTCCTAATAATATATAGGCACAACGTGAATAAATACCAAAATGCATTTAAATATTGTCTCCAAAAACACCAAGTTGTTTTTACGATAGTGATTAATCCTGTTCCCCTGCCAAATGCACAAATAAAAACTATACCTCTTTATAATATAATTACTTTGAAATACATCCCTTACTCAGTATAAGCTTTAGAAAAACAATTTGTATATCAGTCAGATACACAATTAGATTAGAGCAATAGCTCAGAGATCACCTCATTAAACTTCAAGATGAGGCTGGAGGCTGTAGAGCTTCTTCAGTGAAATAATCCAGCCATACACTATCGTGTCTCAGCACCGGACCCAGCAGTCCAGACTGTTTGCTATGTGGCAGAGTAGCATGTTCTAATTTGTATTCTCATAAAGTGAGAGTCAGCTTCAATTAACAAACTGATTACTGCGTTCCTTCAACTTCTTTTTAATATTGCCGTTCATTTCTGCAGTGGCATGAATTTTAAGATCTGCAAGAGGCAGTCACCCATCAGCTGTCATTGACTAACACAGTCAAACATCAATCCTTAAATTCATAGTGACATTCTGCCAAAAGTCTGCTAATATCTGTAGCTGATGGTGACAACTCATAAAAGAAGAATCTGTCATCAAAGCTAGTTCTCCAGCACTGCTCCGAGAGCTGCGATACTTGTGATTTCTGCAAAGGAAGCACTGCTTCA